AGAACCGCAGGGGCGGGGGGCGCCTCGTGGTCAAAGCGGCCGACGAGGCGGATGCAGTGCTTGCGGTTCTCCGGGTCCGCGTTGCGCAGCCGCTCCAGGATCGCAATCTCCTTCTCGCCCGCGCGGCGCATCATCTCGTTGTTGCGCTGCACCTTGACCGCCACCTCGGCAGGCTCGCCCTCTGCGGCGCCTAGCACGGCGCAGCGCACGACAGTGGAGAAGACGCCCTTGCCGAAGGAGCCGAGCACCTTGTACCGCTCGGCGAGCACGTCGCCCACCCGGTGCGCGTAGTACCCCTCCTTGTCGTCGTAGTTGTCGCCCCGGTCCATGGCGGCGGCCTCGTCTAGCTCCGCCTCGCGGTCGACATCTTCCACGTCGTCGTTGAACATGTCAAACCCGCCGCCGCCGCCGTCGGGGTCGTCCGCCTCCGCCTGATCCGCCTTCTTCGGCGGCGGCTCCCGCGGCTTCGACCCCTTCTCCGTCGACTTCAGGCGGGCAAGCATGAAAGCCTTGAGCTCCGACTCGCGCGCGCGCGCCTCATCGCTCACAGCGGCGCCCGGCACGGACCCCTGCGGCTTGGCCGTCGGCTCGTCTGACTCCGAGTCGCTGCCAGCCGCCTTGTCCGACGCGGCGCTCCTCGGCGGCTCCTCACCTGCAGGCGGAGCGGCAGCAGGCCCGCTCGGCGCACTGGTGGGCCCTGCGGCTGCCGCCCCCTTGGCAGCCGCAAGGCCGTTCTCAGCAGTGGGCGCAGCCTCCACCTTTGCTGTGGCCTTCTCCTCGGCCGGGGGCTGTCCCGCAGCCGGCGCTCCTATCGCAGGCTCTGCCGCCGACGACGGCCCCGCCGCTGCCGCCGCCGCCTTGTGCTTCTCGAGCAACGCTGCACGCCGCGCGCGCCTCTCCTCTATCAGCCGATTCTCCCGCGCCTCGTCGTCCTCCTCCATCATCTCGGCCTGCCTCTCCACGCGCTGGCGGTACTCCTCCTCCTCGCGGCGCTTCTTCGCCTCGAGGAGCTCCGCTTCCGCCGCCCCGCTTCCGCCGGGCGCGCCGCCTTGCGCAGAGGACGCGCCCTGCGCTTGAAGCGCCCGGGCGTTGGCGCCGCCGTCGGAGGCCTCGCGCGGCCGCTCGCGCGGCCGGTCTCCGCGCTCGCGGTGGCGCTCGCCGTCCCGCCGGTCGTAGTCGCGCCCCCCCCGTTCCCTGTCGCGCTCCCTGTCGCGGTCGCGCTCGCGGTCGCGCTCGCGGTCGCCCCCGCGCCGCTCCTCGTCGCGGTAATAGTCGCGGCGGTCGCGCGGCGCGCCGTCGCGTCGGTCGTCGTAGCGCGGCCGCTTGTAATCCCTGTCCATCGGCGGGCCTTCCCCGGGGGGCCCCCTTAGTACAAGGCGCAAGCAGGCAGCAAGCTGAGACGGCGCAAGAAAAACACGCGGGACAAGCTGAAGGAAAGGCCGCTAGACTGAGATGAGACCGCCAGTGGAGTTGGGATTCCACCGTGCATCGCGCTGCGAGCCTGTCGTGTCCCTTGTCAGGAGCAGGAGAGCCCCACCTGTCCCCCTGATCGTCCTTCCAAAATCCTGCTCGTGCAGGTGTGGGCCCTGTCCTCCTCCCCTATCCCTCGTTTGGGTTGTCTGTTTTCTTTCTTTCTTTCTGCCACCCGCACCGAAGATGAATCCCGGCCGACACGCGCCACACCACCCCGGTCCAATGCACACACACATGCATGTCGCGCGGCCCGCAGTCGGAGCAGTCAGTTCCAAAGTCGCAGGAGGACGTCAGGCTGCCGTAGCTAGAAAGGCCAACGAGCTGGCGGGAATGTACGGGGACTGCACTTTGGATGTGTGAGTGGGCGAGCGACGCAGTCGGCGAGGCGGCCATCGTGTGACTCTCAAATGATGTTGGGTCATCTGCTTGCGCACGAGGAGTGGATAGGGCAGGGCGAGGCCAGTGGGTAGTGCGGACGAGCGTACCCGGGTCGTCGCCGCGACGAGGAGGTAGGCAAGTTGGTCGCAGGCGGCTCGCGCGAAGCGCTCGGCCTTGTTTGATAGGCACAGAAAGAGGCGGATTCCCCTCTTGATTCAGCAGCGTCCCATTTATGCAAGCTACGTGCTCTCCAAACGAGGCGGCCCTTTTTTTGAGTTTTTGACACCCTTACTCAAAGAAAGAAAAAGAAAAATGAGACCGCAGCCGAACGAACGAAAGTGAGGCGGCGCATGCAAATGCAAGGAAATTCGCGAGAGCGACTTGCGGAGCGCGGTCTCATCAAGACGATCAATCTCACATCCCACAGCGGGCCGGCGAGCGGGCCGCCGGGGAGCTATGAAGCGCACCGAGCGGGCCGGATGACCCGTCGGCATGGGCTGCGGGCAAGAGAGCCCTGACCCTGGGGTGCGTGCGCGTTCGCAGGGAGGGGGCCAAATAAAGAACACACTCGGAGCTAGTAAATACCCTCGACTAGACGCGCCACGACCATGCGAAAAACGCCGCGCGTGAGACTTCCTCCAAGATCGAGCTTGCCATCGAGCGGGTGCCGCCGGCGTTCGTGCCCGGACGACGACGACGAGTCGATCAAACGAGCCTGGTGCCCCACAATCGCGTGTGCGCCGCCGCCAAATGACGCTCGTGCTCGTATATCTCTGGCTGCCAGCGTTTGCTGCCGGCTTCGCACAGCCGCACGTTCATCGTCCGCTGCTGCAACGCCGCGCGGGCCTGAGCGCTGCCAGAGCGGAGGCCGATGACGAGTGGCCGCTCGAGCGTAGGTGCTTCTAGCAATCGTACAGAGATGCTACGATTGCGAGGAGTGCTGCTCACAATCCTTCGACTTCTAGGATTGAGAGCGAGGCTGCTCTCAATCCTAGCGGTCTACAAAAGAAGGTTCACCGTCAGTGTGCCTGTGTCCCTGATCGTCCTTCCAAAATCCTGCTCAGGTGGGGACCTTGTCCTCCTCCCATCCCTCGTTTGGTTTGTCTGTTTTCTTCCTTTCTGGCATGGGACTGGCGCGAACTTTACGACGGCGTTGTCGCATATTGCTACTCTATGTAAATGTAAGTAGGAAGGAGAAGAACAGTCAGGCTCGGACTGGACACCGACGCGGTATGGGTGGACGCTAGACAGATGATCACGACACGCACGAGCGACACACAGACACAAACAAGCTCACAAGACACACAGCCAGCGGGCTGCCACACATCCTGAGTGGGCGTACACATCACTCAGGGCCACGTCCCCCCTGTCGCCCCCCCCAGCACTCCAAGGTGCCACAAGAACAACAACACAGACAGGCGACAGGGGCGAACGTGTGAGACTAGAGCAGGCTTGCTCCGCCTCTAGCAATCTCGTCGCCAGCCGCAAGGCATGGACGAGACCGTGTGTGGGGTCTTGTGAGGTGTCTATGGACGCCCTGCTCACAGGCTATTGGCCAGCCGCTAGCCCTAACTCGCACTCATGGGTGACGACAGTTCATTGGACGAGTGGTTGCGAGCAGAGGCGCGTGCGTGCTGAATCTAGATTGCTACTACGCTACTAGTACCGGAGCATGGCATCGCGGGTGCGATTCGCGACGGTGTCGCCGCAGGGATTTCCGCACTTTGTCTGAGACGGCGCCGCGCACGCCGGCGGCACCGCTTTGAGCAGTCAGCAGCATGATCGCAGCCGTCGCTGGCGTGTCGGACAAGCCTCGCATGCGCGTCGCGGTGGAGTGGCCACTTGCCACCTCTGTCAGTTTTCTGAAACGCCGTCTCGGCGTGATTTTTCGAGGCCTTGCTGACACGGCCACCCCTGTCAGTGTGCCTTGACGATCCCTGTCAGTGTGGGTGAACCTTCTTTTGTAGACCGCTATGATTGAGAGCAGCCTCGCTCTCAATCCTAGAAGTCGAAGGATTGTGAGCAGCACTCCTCGCAATCGTAGCATCTCTGTACGATTGCTAGCACCTACGCTCGCAATCCTACATCTTCTAGGACTAAGAGCAGCTCCGCTCCCAAGGTCCTACATCTTCTAGGACTAAGAGCAGCTCCCAAGGTGACTGGTGACGCCTACGACTACTACCAGCGCGCTCGCAATCCGAGCAAAGTCTAGTCCTACGACTTCTAGGATTGCGAGCGGGTCCCTCGCAATCGGTGCGATCACTGTTTGGATTGTGAGGAGACCCTCCCGGCGCGCTCACTCACAAGCGCTCGCGGCTGGAGCGATTGGGAGTGCCCTCTGTGCGAAGGCCGAAGTGCTCGGGTTGGCAGCGTGTCTATTTTCCAGCCCTGTTCACGTCGCAGAACGAGGCGGATTCCCCTCTTGATTCAGCAGCGTCCCATTAATGCAAGCTCCGTGCTCTCCAAACGAGGCGGTCCGCGCTCTCCAAATGAGGCGGCGCGTGGGTGTTTTCTTTGTTTGACATATAGGCGCCAAGAGGTCGTAGAGCGCGCGCGTATGTGTACTTTTACCTCCATCCAGGACTCCATGTCCATGTCCATGTCCATGTCCATGTCCATGTCCATGTCCATGTCCATGTCCATGTCCATGTCCATGACGTGTGTGTATGTGTCTGACTTTAAAAAGCACCAAAAAGGTGTGCTCCGTGTTTTTTGTAACCCCCCACCCACCCACCCCTCAAAAGATAGCGTCTCGCCTCGCCGCGCCTCGCAGCACCTCGCCCCGATGCCCCCAGACGGCCTGCGCTAGTAGTCGTTGGGCCGGATCCACTGCGTCGCGCCGGTGCCCACGTTGTAAAAGTAGTCGCGCCCGTCGGGCGTCACCCCCTTCTGCCAGCCCTCCGGCAGTGCGTGCTCCGCCTCGCCCCCTCCCTGCTCCGGCTTGGCCTGCGGCATCGGCGCCGGCCCCGCCTCTGCGGGCGGCGCCGAGGCCCCGCCACTCGGGCCGCTGTTGCCGCAGCTCTTCTTCTTGGTGCGCCGCACAGCCGGCACCTCCTCCGCCTCGCGCTGCTGCTCCTCGGCGGCGGCGGCCTGAGAGGGGGTGCGGACAGAGGCCGAGGTGAGGTGCGTCTGCAGTTGCCGCCACCAGAGCCCCGCCCCCCTCCGCTAGCCTGCTCGCGGTAGTATGCCGCCCACGACTTGAAGCGCTCAGCCTCGGCGTCCGGCTCGTGCCAGAGCCGCTGCGGCGGCCGGTACGCGATCCTGCGTCATGAGACACACCGAAGTCAGGGCGGGAGGACGGTCCCTCAGTGCCGTGTATTCGGAGCATCGCGCGTACACACGGGATACAGTGAATACGGCGGACTCCGGCGGACTCCCGCGGATTGGTTGTCCTCTCGAGCGCGAGTTGGAGTACAAGAATGCACAGTGTTCCGCTTCTAGGCCTCGATATCTGGGGGAGATCTGGGGAAATATGGGG